CTTCTTCTTTTTCACATCTGCTCTGCTTTTCTAAGCATGATGTCCTTTTCCAGGGACTGGTCTCTCTTGTAACATGTCCAAAGTATGTAAGATGAAGTCTCATCATCCTTGCTTGTAAGGAGCATTCTGGCTGTACTTCTTCAGATTTTTTTGTTCTCTTGGCAGTCCATGGTACTTTCTATATTCTTCACTAGCACCATAATTCCAGTAATTCAAGAAAATATAAAAAAGATGTTTACTTGTGTTTTAATGACTATGCCAGGGCATCCGACTGTGTGCACCATAACAAACTATGGATAGCGTTGAGAAGAATGGGTGCCAGCACACCTCACTGTGCTCATATGGAACCTCTACATAGATGAAGAGGCAGTTGTCCAAACAGAATGAGGGTATACTGTATGGCTTAAAATCAACAAAGGTCTGTTTCAAGGTCTCCTTTCACCATATTTACTCAATCTGCATGCAAGCAAACAGTCATAGAAGCTGGCTTCCATGAAGAAGAATGAGGGATCATGGTTGGAGGGAGGCTTATTAACAACCTTGCTTGCTAAAAGTGAAGAGGACTTGAAGCACTTGCTGGTGGAGATCAAGGATTGGAGCCTGTGGTCATTAAATAATCTGGTGTCAATTTGAAGATTAAGAGTGTAGGGGTGGAGTCTAGCCTGTCAATAAGGATATCGCCAATGAGACCTCTGTGTGGGCATGGCCTTCTCCTGAGGATTCTGGGAACTCCTGTAAACTTCACCTACTAGATACCAATAGCACACACCCCGGTCGTGACAACAGAACATATCTCCCAACATTGCCAAATGTCCTGTGTTAGGCTGGATTGACTAGAGAAACAAATCCAGTAACACACATATTTGTGTAAGAGAAAGCTTTATATCAAGAAGTAATTGTATGTCAGGAAAACAACCCAGCCCAGTCCAACTCAAGTCCATCAATCTGATACTAGTTCCTAAGCCCCTCTTCAGACTTAAGCAGCCACATGCAATGATCCAAAATGCAGAAAGATAACAGGGTGGTGTGTGCAAAGTCTTGTGGATCCAATGGCAGTGGAAGCATACCAGGGATCTGGCAGCCCCTATAGTGAGGCAGCAGGAAGGTGAAGGCAGAGAGGAGGTCGGGTGAGCTTCTCAGGGCCCTCTTTATGAGCAGGCCACACCCACAAGGAGGCACCATCAGGCTGTGACCTGACTGACAGGTTGGATGCCACCCCTGCACTTTTATATGTCTTCAAGTTGACATGAAATTATGTAACTACCACATCCCCAAAGTGGGAATTGCTCCTAGTTGAGAACTACTACACTGTTTCATCATCTAGTCCTATAGACTCAACTTTTGGAACATTTGTCACCTCAGTTACAGTCTCATTGCCACAAATATTATTAATTCTCGCATCGCTTCATGCACAGATTTTTTTTCCACCTGCTTCCCATCTGTCTGTGGTAGGTAAGTTGACTGACCCAATAGTCATTCCCAATGCACATTGTCCCTGCCAACTTCTGCTAAAGAAGAGTGATACTTGTTTTTCAGCCTCCATTATAGAGGAGTGTGGACAGGTGAACAAATACAGAATGGCAAATGAGGTTTGTGACGGAGATGGTGGAATTTAAGGTTGAGAACAAGGCTTTGAAATTGTTCAACCTGAGGTGTACCTCAGCTTTACCATTTTGGTAGCTTTGTAGTTGTAGGAAAATTATTTCAATTCTCTGTGTTTCATCTACAACACGGGGCTGATCATGCACACACCGCACACACATGTTACATTGGGTCAATTTTGACTCAAGGTGATCCCATACATACTAGAGTATTGTATTCTACAGGGTTTTCAATAGCCGATTACCAGGAGAAACCAGCCTCTTGTATATCATTACAGGTCTGGTAGGCACAATTGTACAGCGATAATATGTAAAGATTATAGTATAGAGAGCATGAGTGATAGAAGAGATATTACAATAATGCAGTCAGACACATTACATGGTAACACTGCTCACCTCAGCCCCGCTTAGTGAGGGAGAAGGGAAGGCTAAGGGGAAAGGGAACAAGGGAGAAAGGACAAAGGGAACAAGGGAGAAAGGACGGGAAGAGAGGAGAGAGGGAGTGAGAGGAGGAGCGCTCTCTCTTGGTAGCCCAGGCCTATATACCTTTTGAGGGTGTGCAAGCCCACTAATTACAGGCAAAGACATATGTCACAGGAAGGGGTTGCACTATAGGTTATACAGCAGTGAGAGGGGGTGGTCTACACGCAATAGGAAGAGGAGGTATTGTGGGTATACATGTGACAAGATGGGTGGATCCTAGATTTAGGATGGCAGCTTAATTTTGACCTGTTCTGTTCTCTGGATCTCCATAGGAACCATTATCAGTAGGGTGTAAACCCCACCTACAGGAACCAAGCTAATGGTCACAAGCCTTAGGGAGAAGTAATCCATTGTCCCCAGCAGCAGGGAGCAGGCCCACCCTTGTGGTGTGCGGAGATAGCAGTCTGCCTCCAGGGAGGATGTCTAAGCATCTGACCTCCCCCCCACAGCTGATTTTAAAGTAGATCACCAGGCCTATTTTCTGAGGTCCCTCTGGATGGATTCAAACTATCAACCTTTCATTTGATCACCTGCAATATCCAGGTACTCTTGAACAATAATAGTACCTACCTTATATGGTTATGATAAATGTATATGTTCCCAGAACAACTGAATGTTTGTAGTAGATATTAGCATTAAAAACATTCATTTCTCATTGTGCAGCAGTTGATGAAAGTATACATCAAATTAGAAAAGAATCCCAACTTATTAGTTTAGGTACCTATGCTCATCGTTGGGGAGAGTGAACATTAAAAACAACAACAAACTTTGGGCA